TCATTTTAATAACTGCTGGGAATATCGTGATATATCCAAAAGGCATTATTTGCCTTGTGAATATATCACGATTAGACAACCACCACGGCCAATGCCTGTATTAAAAGTATTTATCGATCGGTATTATGACAGTTTCGGAACTTATAGGAATGTATACCACTCTTTAGATGGTACATATTTACAGTTTGGAAATATGTTACATTCTGATCGGAAATTACTAAAGAATCATTTTTTGATAGGGTTTGTTCCATTTGGAGCTAAATTCGATGACTTTATACAGCCAATTATTAAAGAGATTCAACACTTAGTAAATGGGCTTATTATAAGTACTCTATATGGAGAAGTATGGGTTGTAGTGGCATTGGATGTATAACATCCGATCTGCCTCAAAGTAATGAATTTGCAGGTGTGAAGCGGCATGGCGCCAATCGGGGTTGTAGAACTTGTAATATTACGAATAACCAGCAGACTGATTTAAGTTATAATCATCTTGAGCATGCTCGCTTTCAACAACACACTGATAAGCAGTTGTTAGAAATTGAACAACAACAGTCAAAAGTGTGTAAAGAACGATTATCTACAACTTATGGGGTGACATCCTTTGGACCTTTTAACATGCTTAAGTGGGATCATCACATCCAAACCCCTCAAGACTGTTACCACTCAATGGCTAGAAAAGCTCGCACCTTGCTAGATGCTACAATGAATGTATTAAATAAAGCTGGTGAAAATGCATTTATTGCATATTGGAACAATATCGAAAAGCCAACATGCTGGTGGCGTATGCCCAACCCATTATGCCATCACCAAAGTTTCATGTTTTCTGATGTTTTAAAAGTTACCATACTAATGCCATTCATTCTTCATCGTTTTTTAAAATTGAATCATATTAAAGCAAGTATTTTAAAAAAATGGAATAACAGTAAACAAATCAAACAATTGTGTATTCTATGGGCTACCGAAGCAAAAGCACTCAAGCTTGCTTTTTCAACTGTAATGACAGAATCAATTTATCAAGAATTACAGGAATCATTAACAAAAGAAAATAATCTACTTCTTCAAGTTAAGTACTATACTATTTTTTTATTTTTACTTTTTTTTTAAGTTTTCTAATTAAATTATTTATATAGTTGTTTCCCGAGCGTTTTAAAAACCTGCCCAACCTTCACATAAACGTACATCTCCTACAGCATGCCAAAAATTATGCGACACTAAAAAACACAGCTGTAGGGACAAAAGAAATGGTCCACCGTATTTACAAAAGGATAGTTCCATGTACAAACCGAAAAATAATAGAACTTGACCTTACACGCCATTATAACGTAATGCAGGCATTAAGACACATCGTTGACGGTTGGATAGATTCTCAGTTTAATAATACTGCGGCACTTTCTAAACTTGCTTTAGATCCACATATCAGCAGCATTTTCTCAAATTGGTATGCCATAGAGAATGTGGTGTTATATTTAGAGGATAAAGACAAGAATAATGGTAAATAAACTTATTTAATACTATCTTATTTATATAAAGGGAAATCTATTTATCGCGTAAAACAATATTCCTTGTATAATTTTATACCTTTTACATTTAATTTCGTACATAATTTTGACATATATATCAAGGAAGTAACCATCTATAAATGTAGCTAAACAATTGAATAAATTTCTTCTTAATGTATATGTCGAGGTTATGTGCAAAATTCGACTCTAAAAGGTGTACTACATAACCACCTTCAGTGACAAATAAATTATTTCTTATATAAATATAACTTATTTTAAAATATAGAACATCTTATTTGTCAAGATAAAAATATTGTTAATATTACACCGAAAAACCAATGGAGTGCCAAACAATTAAAAAGCGTAGATTTATCAAATGCATTAAACGAAAATCGTTTACTTCATCGAGATCTTTATAATACATATGCAAAATATTTCGATTCAAGAAGTGCAATATTAAACCGAAGGGTTAAATTTTATAACTATATTGCATATACTGTCATTAAAGAAGGTCCTATTAAAATGAGGCTTCACGTCGGAGATATCATTGAATTGAAGGAAAACTCTGAAGGCATTCATTATGCCAAAATCAAATTAATACTGGTGCACCAAGCCAATAATGGGCATAGTTATGCTTTTTTTTTAATTAATAGATTTCAAAAAACAAACACTTTAGATCAAATCTTAGAATGTCCAATTTATAGGATTAGATCTGAAGAAACTTATATTTTTCCGATCGATTATGTTAACCACACTCCTAAAGTACACTTTGTGTATGCATGCACGAAGACATGTAATGCTAAGCACGATAAAACAAATAGCTATTATATTTTCAACGAATATTATTATAATGTAATATAACAAATATACTTACATTGTATTACAATACTGATATATTAAAAAATACCTTGTGCTAGTTCCAGCCAGTGGAAAATGCCCGAAAAATTTTTATTCTCTAAGAACATAAATTTTAATTCGATCCAGGATTGGGGTATCTAATGCATATATAATTACATATAGTGAAAATTATTAATCAAGTTTTTTATAATTAGCGGTGGCATAAGTGGTAAAAACATATAAAATTTAGATTGCAAACTCTTGAACAAGCGAACACACAAATGAAACTATATTTGTCGGGTTCATTTTAGTGTACACTTTAAAGTAACAACGCTTTTTTTTTTTAATTTTCATACAAAATGGCCGCTTTTGATTTTTTAAAATTTTTTTGTCTACTCATATTATATTGTGCAATAGTGATCGACAAAAATTACGTTTTTGACATTTTTGTTAATAAATCATCAAAAACGATCATTTTGTATAAAAATTTGGATCCTCCGCTACGCTTCAAACAATAAAAATAAATTGAAAAAGATATTGTTACTTTAAAAAGCGCTCTAAAATGAACCCGACAAATATAATTTTTATTTGTGAGTGTTTGCTTGTTCAAGAGTTATTGCGATCTAAATTTTGTTTTTACTACTTACGCTACCTCAGACAGAAGTTCGTCTGATTGGCTAATAAATTCAAATTAATTTTACATTATTTATACAGTTTAAAGTACCTTTTAGAAAAAATAAAACTACGAAGGATAAACAAAAAAGAAACATATGAAAAGTAAATAATCCAATTCAATCCTGGTTTTAGAGAAGTTAGCACGGTAATAACCTATCTTTAATAAGTCGCTATTATGCTAACTTCTCTAAAACTAGAATTGAATTTGATTATTTTTAATGGTGGAGTCCTACAACCCTAATAAAACTTTTCATATGTTTCTTTTTTGTATATTCTTTGTAGTTTTATTTTTTCTAAAAGGACTTTAAACTGTATAAATAATGTAAAATTAATTTGAATTTATTAGCCAATCAGACGAACTTCTGTCTATGATACGCCACCGCTAATTGATTCGCAAGATCAAATGTGAAGTTTATTTTTACATATATATATATCAGATATAGTTACGTATTCACTTTTCTTAACTGTTAACCTTCAAAGTAGTTTAAAACAAAGCCTTTATGTTTGGCACAATAAGGTTCGTGATCATAAAATTTGCTTAGATATTAGGATCGTAATTTAGTTCATGGACCTCTTGGACATTAAGGCTCGTAACATTAGGGCTTGTGAACTTGAACTTTTAGGAAGTTACATTCGTAAGCTTTTTTGACTTCTTTAAAGTTAGACTTGGGAACCTTTGGCCTTTTCTGAACGTTAGGATTCTTGGACGTTAAATTTCGTGGATTTTTTTTGACTTCTTTAAATTTTAGAATCTCAGACCTCTTGGACAGTGGTTTGTGGACTTCTTGGCCATTAGTGTTCATGGACTTCTTTTTGGTAAACTGAACTGATATGAAATAAAAGAAATGGGACGAAGTATTGTATAATGGTTAATGAATTTGGATGGATTATTTAGGTACGTTGATGAATTAATGGTCTAATCATGATGAAATGACTTATATTATGCGCACTGATAAATTGAATTAACTATCTTTGTATTCACCATTAAATGAATGTGAATAAAAAATGAAATGAGAATTGTGTAATGGTAAGTATTACTGTACTTGAAGTTATTATTTAAATTTTTTAATTAATGATCTTTACATTCATCTATTAGTGATGAAATGAATTCGAATGGCTTATATTATGCGCACTGATGAATTGAATTAACTATGTATCCACCACTAAATGAATGTGAATAAAAAATGAAATGAGAATTGTGTAATGGTAAGCATTACTGAACTTGAAGTTATTATTTAAATTTTCTAATTAATGATCTTTACATTTTTTATATTCATCCATTAAATAAGTTGATAAATGAATTCGAACTACTCATATTATGTGTGCTGATGAAATTGATCTTTGTATCCACCACCAAATTAACGTGTATAAAATAGAATGGAACTTTGTAATAGTAAGTTACTGAGCCTGAAGTTATTGTTTAAGTTTTCAAGTTAATGATCTTTACATTCGTCCATTAAATAAACTTATACGACTGATAGATTGAATTTACGATCTTTGCACTCTATGAGCATGAATAAATGGAACGAGAATTGTGTGATGATAATTATTACTGATCTTAAAGTCATTATTTAAGTTTTTTTCTAATTAATAAACTTTATATTCGCCCATTTACAGAGTAGATTCGAACAGAAGCCGAACGTAACTAAGTTATAACCCATAATAATGTTTCGGTTTTAAGTTACGGCATGTTGTAAAATGTAAATATACCGTATTGTTGTGACATGTCAATATAGCTATACCAAATCGAAACTTTATTATGTACCGTAACTCAACTTTTCATATGCCATAACTTTATAATTTTACAAGAGGGCATTTATTATTAAATGAATTATGCACTAGTACATTGTTAGTAATCGTAATATTATTTGCTATTTACGTTATATCTGAAGTAAGTTAATTTATCTAGTTGCGCAAAGCATTTAATTAACGTCAGAGAAGTACTTTTTAAAGTGAATTTTTAAATTATCTTAGTTGTTCGAAGAACTTTTACTATGTATTGCGCGCAGAACTTTAGCGAAGAACATTGTTGGGTGTGAATATTTTTAAATTGACTTGGTAGCGTGAAGACTTTTCTGATAGGATTTCTTGTCTTACATGAAGAACTTGTCTTGATCACCCACAAGCACTATTTGCAAGAATTTTTTATTTCGATTGTCTATTTACGTCTCCAAATATTTTCTAATGTCAACATATTCCCAAATTGGATCCACCACGACACTTTTTTTAGGTAAAGTTGAAACGAAAGCCACTGATTATTATAAATACTATTGTTGTTTTGAGTCGTAATATTTTAAGTGTATCCATTATGGAAAGGGTTTCGCTGACAAAAAATTTAATAAACTGAGTATAATTATTTTTATGACGTAGTTATTACATATAAATTATGGCTTAAATTGAAATTACTCTTTATTAATAATACTATCGCTAACTAAGTTACCAAATTAATTACTATCAGGGCACAATGGGATCATACATTTTTTGTTGTAACTGTAACTGGCCGTATGCCGTAAAATTCATTGGGACGATTCTACCGCATCACTACTTTGTACTCACCACTAAACGAATGTGAATAATATGGAATAGGAATGCTTAATAGTAAATATTACCGAAGTTGAAATTGTTAAGTTTTCTAATTAATGATCTTTACATTGCCCATTAAAGCAGTGAAATGGATTCGAGCACTGCATGAATAAATCGGAATTAGAATTGTGTAATAGTAAATATTATATAATAAGAAGAGGTTTTTTAAGTCATTTATTTAATAATCTCTACTTTCGTCCATTGAATAAAGCGATGAAATGAATTCGAATGGCTGGATCCAAATAAAATCAGTAATCGTATCGCTTTGACTAGTTCCAGGTATAGAGTAGCTATTGCAAATAGTGGACAGCTGACTTTCTCTAGCGGTAGTCCTGTTACACTATCACAAGCAACTCACTTTAATCTACACGTCCAAATTTGAATATAAACAATCCTAGATGACTTTCTTGAATTAACAATCATGTACTCACCATTAACCAAACAGTAAATATTATATTACATTCAATAATATATTTAACCTTTAAAATTGATTTTTAATATAGTAAGACAAAAATCGAGTTTAGCAAGCACGATATGCTTATTAGTCAGGGTTTTGTTAGATTAGTTTAATTAGCCTCATTTTTTTGCTTAGTTTAAAGATATGGGGGTTTTTTTGCTTAAATTTTATATAACATTTTGAAATTTATCTGCTTTGCATTATAAAGTATTTATATTTATATGTATTTAAAGTATTTTTATAATCTATTTGTAATGTTTTTAAAATATGTTTATAATAAAGTTTTTATATTATAATTTATTAACATCAATTTACAATATATTCCAAATATGTTTATAATTTATTAATAAAATTTGTCTATAATATATAAATATATTGACTATATATTTAAGTTATACAGTAAATATATTATATAGTTAAAATTTATTACTACTCTATTAAAAGCTTG